GAGAAGGAGAAGGAGAAGGAGAAGGAGAAGGAGAAGGAGAAGGAGAAAAAGCTGTTTAATCTGCTGATGGTCGTCAAGGTGAACAGAGTTTTTGATTCATCTTCCTCATCTAGGAAAGATGTTGGTGTTGACTGACTAGAGAGAGACCTGCCAGAGGCAGTCAGCTGGTGTCTCAGCCCTGATAAACACTGACTGCAAACATCAGCAGGATTGGAAAGATAGCTTGAAAAGCTTAGAGGTACCAAATATGAGAGGAATACAACTACAGGACCTGATGGAAGAAAATTATTACTAAAAATGAACAGCATTGCGCTATTTTCCTGAAACTTGGCTTTTGGTAGAAAGATAAGTAACTTTTCACTGACCACAAAAACGTCTTCCTCTTGGCTTTGCCTGCCCTGAGCTCCATAATGTCTTAGCCCCTGGGATTCTACCAGCTAGGTAAGCATAGTTGGGTGCAAACACTGGCCACCAACGACAGCCTTACCTCACCTTGCTCCAATGTGGAGGATGATTTCGGCATCTAGGCCACTCACTTTAAAACATTTTCACTTGCACAAACTTAAAGCTATGGTTGCAGCCCTAACAGATGAATATCTATCTACCCAACTCCTCCCCGTCAGAGGAGGCAGGCATGCTAACAATGGGTAGCAATGCTTCCAGGGACCCGTCAAAGGAATGCATGGAAAGGTGGCCCCGGAAACCATTCAGGAAGCCTTCCAAACACTCAGTATGGACCATGACATTTACAGGAAATATCACTCTAGTTTAGCCAGACATGACAAGCGGCAGAACATTCAACCCAATCTTAAAATTAGCAACAGTTACTCATACAAATCTTGACTATAATCTGACTGCAGTTAACTCTACCTCAGACCAAAACAGAGCCAGGAGTAGTGCTGCATGTAAAAACACAAAGGAAGGAAGTTTAACACTGCCAGACCAGTGGGCATCAGAGTGATGACGTCAGCGGGCCGCTGGGGGAGGGGAGGTCTGCAGAGAAACAAGGCTCTAGTGCTTTGAGTATTTCCCTGCTTGAATGAGTCTCGTGCTCTACCAAGTTATTCTCTCGATTGATAGAATAAAATATATCCTGATTCTGAATTTTTTGATATATCTGACGTTAGACCATAGAATTCCTCGATGGCTTGAGCATCTATTTTCTGCAACAAAGGGAAAAAAAATGTAATTATTTACTACGCTTCCTAGGCAAACAAAATTTAAACTGTAAGATACATGAGTTGGTACCAAAAAATGCAATTAAGAACCTTTGATGGTAAACAGTTCATTCTATACATTTCACAGATTTGAACTGCTTGGGGGGGCAGTGTGGAGGACAACTTTTTCCTCTAACTAACCATACGGAGATGCCCTTTGAAAAACTTAGGACGTCTGTCTTTCAGGTAGTCGTGAGAGGGGTCTGTGAATAACCTCAGTTCTTTCAATTTATCAGAGCTCATTTCCTTTAGTGTCTACTCTGCTAAAATGGCTACCCTAATGGGTTAAAACAGATTCCACCTTTGAGAGTAGAATTTATAATATTCCTTTACGAGAAAATGAATGCATAAAGTACAAAGACATAATCTAAATAGTTTCATACTACTGGAAAGTAAGTCTATTTAAGTAACAGTTGCAAGAGTGAGCCCACCCCAAATTCCTTCTCCACCCTGTGCCCAGTGAGCGATTAACCTGCACGCCTACCTCTACAATGTCGTCATCAAACAAAAGCCAGAAGCCATGACTTTTCACGATGGTGATGTAATGGCCACGGTTAGGACCACTGGAAAAGAACGAAGGGGAGAAAGTCACCTGGTAAGCATGTTACTTCTTTATAACATTCCAACTATTAATGCAAAAATCTAATGTCATCAAGTCTAGCTACCACAGTGTCACAGACCTGTGTCAGCTACTCGGAGGCTGGAGGAGGTCAAATCCACCCTGGGCATCACAGAGATAATGCTGTTTCCAAATTAAAAGAACTGTGGACTGGTTTTTGTCTAAGTCCACGATTCTGTCAGAGTACCTGGGTGCTGGCACCATGCTGGCCATAGGGGTGTGCAGAGAGAGGCCCAATGGGGAAAACAAATTCAAATTCAGTAATTAGGAATTACTGTATCCTTACTACCTGTCAGCAAAACAATGAGCAAATTAAAGCATGCCTCCCTGCCCACCTTTACCTTCCACAGTGAACGACTACAGCAACCAGGTCATACATGCGGTCCAGGTTCACAGCATCACTGGAGGTGTTGAAGAGCCGGAGCTCCAGAGGGAAGACCACCCGGTAAGACAGCTTGGTGTACCTGTGGAGCTGCTCCATGTACTTGAACCTCTTTAGGTGCAGGGCCAAAATCATGGGCAGCTTTTTTACCCTCATCCTAAGAAAGCACGAAACAGAAAACCAAATGTACCCGATGCCCATTAGAGGAAGAAAACACACGATTGCCTACACAAACAAGGCAGCAGGGGATCAGCAAGCATCCAGACTTTTCACAAGCAGAAACATGTGCCCACGTGTGGAGACTGGTACATCCTGCATCCTTAGCTAACACAAGTAAGAGAAGGTCACAAGCATACATCTCCATCTGGCCACAGACGATGTGCTCTCACCGTGCCTCTGCTTGCAGAATGGGATGTATCTGGATAGTATACTCCACAGTATATGGACAGGAGGGCTGACAATTTAAGAAAAGGAAGCTGGGAAAAGGAGCAGGCAAATGATACAGACAGAACTTCAGGTGCTAACGACCAGCAGGAGGAATCTCCTGGCACATACCTGGGCATCAAACACCAAAGCTGCCAGGATCATGCCCACTCCCTACTCTTGTGATTTCCTACCACGGTTCTCACTCTAGGTGTTATCTTGGGGCTATTTTCACAAACATTAGGAAATGGAGGGGCAGGGGCTAACGTCAAGTCTGAGCACCACTTCATACTGGTTTTTTTTTTTTTTTGAAGCTTCCACACGTGATAATGCATTGAAGGTTTTGAGAAATACTGCCCTGGAGGAATTGTTCTGGTTCCAACCTTACATAAACACCCCCTCCCCCAACTATCTAACCATTAATTAACATTCCTGGGTAAAGTGTATGTCCCACAGTAAAACCTGTGTTGATAACACTGCCGGAGCACAGCACCCAGCTCTCCTCCCCCCACCCCCACCCGCACTGACGAATATGCTGAATTAGCACAAACACTGCTGGACCTGTGCACATTTTAGTATGTATGTTTTTAAAAGGACTGATTCTAAGAGAATATTTATTGAGGAATCTCCTAAGGTAAAAACCCTCTTCATAGAAAGAAAATAAAAACATCAGACAAGACAGGCATGATAGCACATGTCTCGTAACTCCAGTGCTGGAAGGGAGGGGCCAACAGGAAGAGGCGGGTTCTAGAGCAGCCTGGGCTATAAGCCAGACCCTGTCTCATAAAAACAAATTTGTAGAAAAACAATAATTATGGGAGACCTCCATATTTCCCAGGATCATGTGTCATTTTAATACACAAAACATCCAGGGTTGAGCAGAAAACAACTTCATGCCACACAGGTAGACCCAGGCTGTAAAGCAAGATCCACAGTATGGGAGGCAGAGACAGTGCCCACTAACAGACAGCGCCTGCCGTCTGCTCTTGGGGTTGGCCTTCTCATGTTGATGGCATGAAGAAAGATATACATGCGTAGGGTTAGGGTGAAGAAGGCTAAACAGAAAAATCATTGTGACCCCAGGTCTAGATCCTCAGCTGTAGAGGGCGCCATTGAGTATCTGTGAGCTACCTTGAAATCTCCAGAATGAGCAAGACAACCATATCCCAAGTGGGAGTTCACAGAGAGATTAAACTTTCAAGTTTCTCGGTTTCTGGGGTTGAGATAGGGATGAATAACGAGTTAGCTCAGAGTACCCAAGAGCTGTCATCAGATGAGACTGAAAAAGATGGCGGACCCTAGATATTATGCCAAGTGAGAACACGGTAGCTTTCTTCAAGACGGCTTCTTTAAGTAGTCCTGTCCTCCTAACGTCCCTATCACGAATTCCTGCAACCGATGTGTCCTTGGTTCACGGCTCCTTATTAAATAACATGGTTTTTAAATCTCTGGCTGTAAATAAGAAGGCCAAAGTCTGGACTGGAGATGGCTCAGCGGTTAAGAGCACTGACTGCTCTTCCAGAGGTTCTGAGTTCAATTCCCAGCATCCACATGGTGGCTCACAACCATCCGTAATGAGATCTGGTGCCCTTTTATGGTGTGTCTGAAGACAGCTACAGTGTACTCACATACATAAAATAAAAATAAACCTTAAAAAAAAAAAGGCCAAAGTCTACAGGAAAAGCAGCAATGCTGTGTGTACTGTGTGCTGTATACTGTGATAATTTATTAAAGTGCTTTATATAACTTATCCTTAATCCTGAGAAGGTAGTGAGGATGTTCAATCCCCACTGTTTACCAGTATCTAGCACACGGTCATACTTGGTACTTGTTGATGATAAAAAGCATGGACAGACAGACATAGGACAGCTCTCTGAGGGCATCATTCTTAGCCAGTGTGGTCGTTTCAATATGCTTGGCCCAGGGAATGGCACTATTAGGAGGGTGTGACCTTGTTGGAGTAGGTGTGTCACTGAGGGTGTGGGCTTTAAGACTCTCATCCTAGCGGCCTGGAAGCCAGTCTTCTCCTAGTGACCTTCACATGAAGATGTAGAACTCTCAGCTCTTCCTGCACTATGCCTGCCTGGGAGCTGCCATGCTCCCACCTTGATGATAATGGACTGAACCTCTGAACCTGTAAGCCAGTACCAACTAAATGTTGCCTTTATTAGAGTTGCTTTGGTCACGGTGTCTGTTCACAGCAGTAAAACTCTAACTAAGATAGCCAGGTTTTCTGAATGAGGTTGCCGACTCCATGAAGCTTAGACCGCAGACCCATGGGGCCCTTCTGACACGAGACCCTCCACCCCCTGCTTAGCCCTGCACGCACCTCTTCTGAGCCTCCTGTTTGCTGCAACATGTTTCACAATAATATTTTTGTTCACTACACAGCGTTTCTGTGTTGCTGAAGTCTCTGTAGAGAAAAATATTTTCACCTTTTAAAAAACAGCCCAGACATACTTAATACACCACATTCAAACCCCTCTATTACCTGGAAGGTAATACCCAAGTGAAACTGGGGAAAACAATAACCACAGAAGAACCTTCTTAAGACTGGACTGTTACGCCATTAGAGCATGTCTACAGGCCTGGGCTGCGGCTTCACTGTGAGAGTTAGAGAAGCAGTCTGATTTAAGCCGGGGGTGCTGGCACACACCTCCAATCCCAGAGCTCTGGAGGCTAAGGCAGGAGGATGGGAACTTAAAGCCAGCCTAAGCTACACTGTGAGTTCAAAAGCAGTCCCTATTCCCAAACAAAACAAAATTAAGGAGACCCAGACAGATACAAACTAGAGATTCTAACAGATTCAGAAGGGGAAAAGGGGCAGAATTAAGTAGTAGTAGGAAGAAGAAGAAGAAGAAGAAGGAGAAGAAGAAGAAGAAGAAGAAGAAGAAGAAGAAGAAGAAGAAGAAGAAATAACAGTAGTAGCAGCAGCAGTAATTAGAAAAAAACCCAAGTCTGCTTGAATATCATGATGTCAGGTCCCAAAAAGGCAATCATAAAATCCAAAGTTAGCATTTCCATATGAATTAAAAATGGCATATTGGAGGTTCCACTTTTCAAAGACAACAGAGTTAAAGATACCGAAATCAGAACTGTACACAACTGTCTTTATGTCCAGCTTAAACCGTAGGAGGAAGGGTGAAGGGGTGTGGCTCAGGTGATAGCGTGCTTGCCAGCACATGCCTGAGGCCCTGGGTTCCATCTTCAATGCTGCACAAAATGGATGTGGTGTTGCAAACCCATAACGCTCGCACTAGGGAGGTGGAAGCAAGAAGATGAGGAGTCCGAGGTCACCTGCCATCACCTAGCTGAGTTTGAGGCCAGCCTAGGCTACATAAGATGCTGCTCCCTTCTCTCTCTCTCTCTCTCTCTCTCTCTCTCTCTCTCTCGCACATGCACACACACACACACGTTCTGTCTCTGTCTCTGCCACACACATACACTCTTCTCTTTCTCACACACATATTCTCTCTCTCTCTCTCTCTCTCTCTCTCTCTGACACACACACACACACACACACACACACACACACACACACACACACACGTCATCAAGAGGTGATGGCCCTCCACCCACCACTGCTGTCCCACACTCCCCAGGATAAGCACTTTAGTCTGCCTTATTTAAAAAACAAAGGCCATTGTGGCAGTGCTGGATATAATCTTATCAGAAGGTTCTGCCAGATACTTAGAGCTTTCACTTTCTAAATGTCACGGCCTTTCATTCTTTTCTGGATTCAACTCTGAATTTCTGTGGTCAGCTTCAAAAAGCTGAAAAGGACATTTAGAATCTACTGCCCTCTAGTTCGAAAAATGCCTGTTGACACTTCTCGCAGCAGCAGAATGATCAGGTTCTATTAAACAGAAAACTCTATTAATGATCTATCACTTACAGAGAACACATCAAAGGAAAGCATTGTCCATTTGCTCAATTCCCAGATAGGCGCAAGGTCCTGGGGATTTGGAGAATAGCTATACTCATACAGAAGCAAGTATAAATGAGCCCATAAGTATACCTTAGTCATAAACCACTAGAGGTGACTCCCCTGCCTAAGATCTCCCTCTAACAGTTTGTTGCTGCACTCAAGAGAAGTATTACGACACCCACACTCATAAGCCCTGGGCCTCAGACTCTACGATCCTCTGCCCTGCCTCAGACTCTAGTCTGCAGCTTCCTGGTCCAGGCACTCCTGCGTGGGCTATGCTCCTCTGCTGAGGAGAACAGGTCGGAGCTACTTCCTCAGCAATGAGAGTGCTTCCCAGAGCCCCCCATAACTGGAATGCCTGGCTACTCAGAACTCAGGGAGCCAGTCATCTCCAGGGTGAGTTTGCCTAGGAAGCCCCCAGGCTCTGATCCCACTGCAGTGGGTTTTCTTTGGTTTGTTTTGTTCTTAAGGGTGTGTGTGTGTGAGTGTGAGTGTGTACATCTCTGTGTGTGTATTGTGTGAATATGAGTGTGTGTGCATGTCTATGTGTGTTTCTGTGCCTGTGAGTGTGTGTACTTGTGTGTGTGAATATGTGAGTATGTATTTGTATACATCTGTGTGTGTCTATGCATGCACCTGTACATGTGAGTGTGTGTAAATGTGTGTGTTGTATGAGTGTGTTGTGTGAATGTGAGTGTGTGTTTGCATGTGTCTGTGTGCGTGAATATGTGAAAGTATGTGTATGTTGCATGAGTGTGTTGTGTGAATATGTATGTGTGCATGTGTCTTTGTGTGAGTGTGTGTGAATGTGTGTATGTGTATGTCTGTGTGTGAATGTATGTTATGTATGTGTGTGAGAGTATGTGTATGTGTGAGTATCTGTGTGTATGCATGTGTATGTATATGAGTGTGAGTATACATATGTGTGTATGAGTGTATGTATGTATGAGTGTGTGCATATGTGTGCAACTGTGTGTATGTGTGTAAGGTGTGTATGTTCATGTGTGTATATGTGAGTGTGTATATGTGTGTATGTGTGTCTGCACATTATGCACAGAGGCAGAAGAGGGCATCAACTGTCCCCCTCTATCACTCTTCCTATCCTTTGAGGAAGACCTCTACCCAAGCCTGAGCTCATGTTTTCTCAGCTGGTCCTAAGATCCAACCATCCTCCTGCCTCCACACACCTCAGGAACTTTGGTTACACACATGCACAAGATGCCTGGCTTGTTATATGAACTCAGAACCGTGAGCTTGGATCCTCTGGATTTCACACCAAGGACTCTGAAAAGAGCAGGGAGAGATCGTGTGTGTTTTCATCACTGGTATATATGCAGCCTGACCCTGCTGAATGAAGGAGTGAGTGGATGAATGAAGACAGACAGAAGAATAAAGTCCAGAGAAAAGCAAAGAGAAAAGAGAAAATAAATGTGTCCTGGAATAATTAAGGTATTTCCCTAAGAGACAACGTCCAAGTCAGGTAAACAGAAAGAAGCATGCTGGGGAAACAGAGTCACAGAGGTAAGGCACAACAGTGGGAAGGGCCACAGTTGCAGGGAGCAGTACGAACTCGGGGAATTACAAAGAAGCTTGTATGATCCCTACAGTTCAGTGACTCCTGAGCAGCATGGGAAAGACATAAGCAGACAGTGTTTCTGAGAACTGCTACTTTCAACAGCTCCACAGAAAGGCTTAGAAGATGTTGGGGTGGGGGTGGAGGAAAGCCTTGACAGGCAATCACGCTGAACCTCCAGAGTTCAGTTCTTCCTGTGCAATCACACTCAACAGCAACGGAATGAAGACCTCGCTGAGTGACTGCCTGCTCTGGAGCACTGTTTGTGATTGTTTCCTTGATCAGAATAATCAAAGAAACCACAGCCAAGAGGAAGGAGCCAAACAGGCATTCTTTGTAGGCTGGGATAGGATAAAACACAGCGAGAGTTTTCAATGATTGATCATCCCGGGTCTCAAAATCCAAAATGCTAGTCCCAAGCATTTAGATAAGGGATACGCAACCTGTATTAATTTAAAGGCTTCATGTGATAGTTTGTATAGCTTGGCCCAGGGAGTAGCACTATTTGGAGGTGTGGTCTTGTTGGAGTCGGTGTGTCACTGTGGGCATGAGCTTTAATACTCTAGACCTAGCTCCCTGGAAGTCAGTCTTCCACTAGCACCCTTCACACAAAGATGTAGAACTCTCAGCTCTTCCTGCACCATGCCTTCCTGGATGTTGCCATGCTCTTGCCTTGATGATAATGGACTGAACCTCTGAACCTGTAATCCAGCCCCAATTAAATGTTGTCCTTATAAGAGTTGCCTTTGTCATGGTGTCTGTTCACAGCAATAAAACCCTATGACACCCCACTTTAAAAGGCCACCATCCTCCTCAGTCCCAGAGGGTCAGAAGGACAGTGCCACCAGATGGTGATGGTATACACCTTTAATCACAGCACTTGGGAGGCAGAGGCAGGAGGATCTCTGAGTTAGAGGCCAGCCTGGTCTATATAGTGGGTTCCATGACAGTTAGAGCTACAGACAGAAACCCTGTCTCAGAGAGAGAGAGGTGGGGGAGGAGAGGAGGGCGAGCATAACACCATAATAAAAAGTGTGAAGGTGTCATGACAATGAACCTGAGAAATGGGACCGGAGGGTAGGCCATCGAGGGGCTGGCCCAGCAGTAATGGAGCAGGGCAGGTCTGTGAGTTCACACTGCTAATTTGTAGAACAAAGTGCTGGTCATGATGCAGTACACTTGTAAGCGTGGCACTCAGGGGCTTAGGTAAGGAAGATCAAGGCCAGCCTGGGCTACATAAGGAGGTTCTGTCTCTCACAACACCAGGGCATATGTTATGGACAGAAGCCCAGACTCACTGAAGCTCTTCATGTGTGCTATGCCTCTACCTTGACCAGCATCCCAGGTGATTCTGATATATGCACCAAAGCCTGAGAACCACTGACTTCAATGTTAAACAAAGAAAGGGGGAGTGGGGACAGAGGAGGAGCGTGCAGGGTGGGTCGGGAGATATAAACATGGAAATCAGTAGTGCAGTTCCTAAAACACACACACACACAAATGTATGACCCAGCTAACCACTACTGGGTTCATGCGTGAAGGACTCTTACATCTGAATATCTAAGACTTAAGAGTCGGGATACCTCAAAGACACATGAATATCCACACCCCTTGCTACACAATTCACAATACACAGAACCAGCCTCACATGGAATGAGCCTAACACCCCAGAGACACTTGTACCTCCATGCTGATTGTCACAATTCATGGGACCAGCCTAGATGTCTATGGACGGGCGAATGGATAAAGGCAATGCAGTCCATATATACAATGGGTATTTATTCAGACATGAATAAGAATATAATCATCATGTACAGGAAAATGAAAGGAACTGACATCACTATGTCAAGCAAAATAAGCCAGATTCAGAAAGATAAATAAATTTCTATATGGGACTCTCTCTCTCTCTCTCTCTCTCTCTCTCTCTCTCTCTCTCTCTCTCTCTCTCTGTGTGTGTGTGTGTGTGTGTGTGTGTGTGTGTGTGTGTGTGTAAGGCATGAAAATAAAGGTCTATGAAGGGAGGAAGAGCTTTAACAGAAATGACGAGATCTATGAGATATGGAAGCAGAGGGGAGAATTGTTTGAGGAGAGAAAGGAACCAAGGAAAGGAAGTATTCGAGAAGGCAGGGGTGATAGGGTGGGTAAGAAAGAACAAACTGGAATGTCTGAGGATGTCACAATGAAACACATCCCTTAGTACACTAACTAAAAAACTAATTAAAAAAAATCTGCGAGTGTCACATCCCAGGAAAAGGCACATGTCAATAATGACCAAAACTAAGACAGAGGTCACGACACGGGAGAGAGAGACACACATGACATTTAGTAAGGTGACAATGTGTGTAAACTCAGAACATAAATTGAGTTTCTCAAATCAGGTAGAAACAGGATTCCTAAAGATTAGTTTTCACAGACACGGCTCTGAGAGGATTCAAAGGCCGCTGGACACCTGGCTGACCTCCCGGCCTGAGAGGGTTTCAAGCGAGAGGAAGAAGAAAGTCTGTTTAAACCTGAGCTCTTAGAAGTGAGGAACTGCGGGGAGAGCAAAGGAGCCCAAGGGGAAGAGAGAAAACACCGGGAAGGACAACCAGGACAAACTGCAGAGTCTGAGTCTTTGCCAGAGGGCATCTCTGAGCTTTGCAAAGGAGGGGGGAGCAGAGAGAGAGAGAAGCACCCTCATTCTTAGAATCCTCCATCATAGGCCGCTCACCCTGCCTAGGATGCAGTTCTGAGGTCTGAGGTATGAGCTTTTGGTTCAGAGAACAGTGTGGATTCATGGCTTCCTTCCAGCTGTTTTCTGAATTTTAATGTTACTGATACCATTTCTCTAGGACAGGAGCTCTGTGAGAATACACTGGAATCTGTCACCCAAAACCCCGCTGGAAGGAGGAGGCTGGGTGCTTACTTCAGGCCCCACAATTTCAGCATGAGTCCTGACAGAAACCTCACATCATAAGCCCTTAATAAAGGGGATGTTAAAGAGCTCCTGACTGAAAAACAAATGAAATGAATCCAACCCGAATGGAGTCAGGGAGGCCAGTGTCACGGTCATTCCCTCTCCAGACTCAAAGGCTTAACTATTTATTTATTTATTCCTTTGAATAAATATCTATTCGAGTCCTGGTTCTCATGGAACTCACTATGTATACCAGGAGTACTTATCAGGGATACTGATGGACTGGACTGTCCATTCAGATAGGAATCTGATGGATCTAAAAGACCAGTTTGGGAGCTATGATGGTTAATCTCCATTGTCAACCTTGACCGGATTTAGAGGCACCTAAGCCATATGCTTCCAGTAGATGTTGAATGTGTTTCCAGAGAGGATAACGGGGGACAGCATCATCCCCGTGCACTGGGGTCTGGGACTGACTAAAAATGGTGTGGAGGGGTGGGCGTGAGCTGAATGTCAGCTCTCACCTTGATGTTCCCTAACTGTGGACTCAGTGTGACCAACGGACTGCCCTGTGTTCCAGCCACCATGCCTTCTCCACTGTCATGAACTGCACCCTCGAACTGGGAGCCAAAATCAACCCGGCTCCCCCACAGTCATCTCATCTGTCGGGCATTTTATCACAGCAACGAGAAAGGTGACTACCGCAAGAGCGATTACACATGGCCCTCCCCCATCTTTGCTATTTCTAAGCACCCCTCCCTCGGCTGCACTAGGGAAACTGAACCAACATTCCCACGCCTCCATGGAAAGAGCAATCGGTGACTCAGTTCTCCATTTCATGTTTGGAGTCAGAACTAACCGCTCAGAGCTTTACCTGCCTGGTCAATTCGACAGCTACAGCCACCTTCCTTCTAACAACCCAGGGATCCCCCATGAGGCCGGGGATGCTGCTAAACCTCCTCAAACCCCAATATCTACCACGTGACACAGGACAATGCTGGGACAACTTTCTCTTTTTCCAGCCAAGTACATCAGGCATCCAATATAGTCATAAACGCTAAGGCGGCACCAAGACCGTCTGTTTTTACAGGAGTGTCACCCAGCCCCTTAACAGAACCAAGCTGAAGAAAGAGTCCAGCCTACAAAACACACTTCAAACTCTCCTTGTTTGCTCCTTGCTGAGAGTGGAGAGGGGGGAACTGGGAAGTGGGAAGTGAATGGAAGTCATACAACCTACCGCACTGAGAAGCTCTTCCAGCAAGCTCCTGTCTGCTGGTTCTTACTGATGCAAGTCAACAGGACCTTGCTATGACACTGTAAGACATCCCCAGCTGTGGCATCTGTTCGTTGGGGAGCCCACCCAAACCACTGAGCTGCGTTAGCAACTTCTCCATCAGCCACTCTGTAGGGCGATCTTATCCCTATGCTCTGGGGGTCATTTGTGTAGTCCCACTTGACCGGAAGTAGTCAGGTTTTTAGGACTTAGAGCTTGGTAATTTGTGACATTCGTTCCTGTAGCCTTTGTCTAGGACAGGAAAATTATAAGCACCTGTTTCCTTGTTGAAAGGAAATTGGGGATGGGAATCTAGTCCTTGTAACAATTCTAAACATTTTCTTTCCTTTACAAGGTAAGGGTTTAAAGGATTTTCTTTCCTTTGAAAAGATTTATTTCACTATGTATATGTACCTATCTATAGGTATAGCGGCCCTAGGATTGGATCTCCCTAAAACTGGAATTGCCTGACATGGGTGTTGAGAACCAAATTCAGTTCCTCTGGTCGAACACTGCGACCAGATAACAACTGAGCCATCTCCCCAGCCTCTCTGCGCACAGTTTCAATGCATACGTGAATATATTCTAACTGCAGTAATCCTGGGCACACGTTGTTAAACTCTGGCTCGTTACTGTCCCTTGACACTAATGAGGGATTTCTACAGCACAGGAAAGCAATGCTGAGAAGGCGATTCCACCACTAGCTCTCAAAGTGCATAAATGTCATGTACTAACCTTGTACTAAACTTGTACCTCAGAGCAGGGGTTCTCAACCTTCCTAATACTGCAGTCCTCTAATACAGTTCCCCACATTGTGGTGACCCCAACCATGAAATTATTTTCGCTGCTAATTTTGCTACCGTTATGAATCATAATATAAATATCTGTGTTTTCCAATGGTCTTAGGAGACCCCTGGAAGAGTGTCATTCAACCCCCAAAGGGGTTGTTGTGTCTCACAGGTTGATAACTGCTACCTTAGAACTGGCATCTGTATCATTTATTAACTTAATACGTGAGTGAGTATATGCTTGAGGCAGGCAGAGAGAGAGAGAGAGAGAGAGAGAGAGAGAGAGAGAGCGCTAAAACACATCTGTATTACAGATCAAAGTTTTATTTTTAACTACAGTGACTAATTACTTCCACCTGATCTTCTCTGCTCAAAAGATCCTTCTCCAGACCACATTCATTTATTTTTAATCTCTTGGGGAAGAATAGAAAATGAAAAATAATAAGGTTATATTGGTTTAAAAGCAGGATTGTTTGTGGATTTCAATTCCCTTATGTGCTTACTAACCAGGCCATAAGTTCAAACCCCAGGCAGAATGCAAGCGGTTACCTCAGGCAGTGGGTAATGGAGGTGTTCTGTTCCACATCCACAGAGAGGTCAAGAAAATCTTCATCTTTGCTGCTCACCTGAAGCAAGAAAGGTTGGGCGGGGGGAGTGGTTAGGTACAAAATATATAGCAGACACCATAGCTAAGACTTGGAGTGTTTACAGGTAGCCTGACACGTGACAGCAGTAAAGTCACATGTGGCCATGAATACGCACCAAACCAGAGTTAGTTTAGAACTTCCCAACCCAATCCCAATTCAACCTCATTACTTTCACAATTCTGACCCAAAACGTGGTAACAGAAACCCAACCAGGTTTCTCTTCCTCTTCAGCCATATTCCTCACCCTTGCCACCAGTGAGTATCAGACAGGTATCTATGCAGCCCACGCTGGGAGAGCATGGGGGCAGAAGAAGTTCAAGAGATAAGAAACTTCCACCCATATGGTGGCCCTTCACCAAGTCCAGTCCCCTGGAGTCCCTTCCTCCAGTGCCCATTCGAGCCTTGTAGGATCAGAAAGCTGGACTGTCATGCTAATTCCCATTGAGTTGTCCTTCAGAAAGTGGTCACCATGTGCAGAGTCCTGTGCAGTCATTCCTGAGCTGGCCACACAGCCCATCCTGATACAGGCCACTATCGGTTAAACCAGCTCACCGCTCCAGCTGTTCCCCAGCCCTTCACCTGTCACTCAAAGCTCCCGGAGTGACTGTTTATTTTCCACTCACTCACCAACAATCCTGAGGTTTTACAATGTCACTGGTGGACCGGGAGGGATGAGCGGACCCAGCAACAAACCTGAAGTGTTCAGTTTGCCAGTGGGAAAACGAAGACCACATTCATTTAAAAGACAATGTGTACCCATGCTCCAGTGAGTATATGGGCAACATAAACTGGACTTAGCTGATTTCTTCTCCTTCTCATCTTCCTCTTCCTCTCCTTCCTCTTCTTCCTCCTATTCTCCCTCCTTCTCCTCCTCCTCCTCCTCCT